CCTTCTGGTTAGCAGTCAAGTGCCTTAGGTACTATGCTCCCAGAGCTCCTGCAAAGATCATTAGCAGATGCTAAAACCATTTACCAAGGGTATGGGGAACTGGGATCTGCAAGTAGTAAGTGCCCAAGTACTGTATACAGAGCACTTACTACTTGCAAAGAGAAAACGTTTCCTTTGCAATGAAGAGATGTGTGGTCACCAGGTGATCCCAGTAATTAAATACAACATCACTAACAGTGAGACACATTGACATTTTGTTGATATAATATGAAAACACCACATCACCTGTGAAATATTCTTGCCAACAATGTTTACCCTGCATCTAATTGAGCCTTTAGATCTAATTTCCATCTTGGGGGCAGGAGACAGAAGAACAAGTTGCATGATACCATAAGGAAAACAGGCAAATCCAGATTGTGGGGCATTCTAAAACTGGCCTGAATCTTTTCAGAAAGCGGCCTGGGCAAGGAGACTGATCTAGATTAAAAGATACTTAAGAGACATAAATAACAATTGGTTATGCATTATCTTTGATTAGATTCTGGCTGGAAAAAATTATCAAAGGTATTTTGGGGCTGACTGGAGAAATTTGAATATGGACTGAGCATTAGGCATAATATGGAATTACAGTCAGTTCGGTTAGGTTTCATAATGGTACTGCAGCTACGTAAGAAAATGTTTATCTTTTCAGGAAATGCATGCTAAAGCATTTCGAGGTTTCATGATGTAATTTACTTTGAAATATTTTAGCAAGGATAAATCAGTTGATATGAAGCAGATACAGCAAAATACTAACCGTTGTTCAGTCATGATGTTGTTTGTTGTTTTAGTCTACTTTTTTCTTTATGTGAAAATGTTATATTGATACGATGATGTTGATCAAATGTCTGACCTGAAATGAGCATGTAGACAAATTTAACACAGAAGAGCAAAAAAAAAAAGGAGGAGGAAATGTTATATTAAGAAGTTTAGTGAAACAGGAAAAATTGTATTGTAATCAATCAGGGTAGGTTGGAGGCTACATGAACCTCTGAAACTATTGCCTTGAGATAATCTTTAAATGTTAAACCAAAAATATCCCAACTCAAAAAAATAAAATCCAAACACCGCCATGGAGTTGATTCTGACTCATACCAAACCCCTTTGGGTTTCTGAGGTAGCAAATCTTTGTTGTTGTGTTTTGGCATCAGGTCGGATCCGACTCATAGCAACTTCTTCTTGGGTTTCCGAGGCCGAATCACTACGGAAGTAGATCTTTACAGAAGTAGATTGCCCGGTCTTCCTTCCGTGGAGTGGCTGGTGGGTTTGAACCACCAAACTTCTGGTTAGCAGTGAAGTGCCTTAGGCAGTACACCACCAGAGCTCCTTATCCCCTGAAGTCATCTTAAAACCAAACAGGAATTTAGCTTAACTTGGGAAGACTGTCTGCCTTAAGCACTGTGCTATCTGTATGGGATCAAACTGACAACAGCAACTCAAAAGGTTAGACAGGAAACTTAGGGGCAGTGAATTTAGGTTAAATGGTGGAGGAATAGCTCAGAAAAGAAGAGTGAGAATAGTTGCACAACTCAGGGTTGTACACGTAGAAACTGTTGAACTGGTGTATGTGTTGCTGTGTATATTCTCAACACTAAAATAATTTTTTAAAAGTTCAGTGAAATGACCTGCAAAATCACGTAAATCTGACCTGTACTGGGAGGGGCAGAAGTGAGTGTGTCTCAGAGGCCACATTTGCACACCCTGGAAGGAGCATTCATTCTTTGAGCTCACCAGAGCAGTGGAGGGAGACAGGCATTCACTCCGAATGCATGAGACTTTTGAAAGTGTTAATGTCCTTCCCAAGGAGCTCTGGTAGCATAGTGGCTAAAGCACTTGACTGCTAACCAGAAGGCTGGTGGTTCAAACCCACCAGCCACTCCTCGGAAGGAAGGTTGGGCAATCCTACTTCCGTAGTGATACTGCCTCGGAAACCCAAGGAGGGGTCGCTATGAGTCGGGGCCGACTCGACGGCACATAACAACAACAATGTCCTTCCCAGAGTGCCCAAGTTCTTTTCAGCAATGACTGACTCTCTGGCAGGATGAGATTGATTAGTTCACATTATGAGCACAAGGGGAGGGTTCATATGTTTGGTTGTTGTTAGTTGGGTTTTTTCCCCAAAAAATTAAATCACCTAAAATTACCTTCTTGTTATGAGATGTTAAAGGGGGGTTATTTTCTTTCTTTTTTAACCCTTTTTTTCTCCCAAACAGCATGAAGTAATTGTCCTACCCACTCAGGTATAGATGTTGAGTAGCAGTTAAAATGCAGAATTGCTTCCTGCAATAGGCAAAGCTAAATTGTCCTTAAAATTTAATTGTCACCTAAGAAGTGTGTTTACTGCCCCATCCAGGTCCTCTCTTTCTGATGTGATTTCAGGGAGCTGGATTGTGCCATGTTACGGCGCCTAGAGAAGAGGATTCTGGTCGACCTTCCCAGCCAGGAGGCCCGGCAGGCCATGATCCACTACTGGCTGCCCCCTGTGAGCAAGAGCCAAGCCCTGGAGCTGCGGACGGAGCTGGAGTATGGACTGCTGAGCCAGGTAGCTGCCGAGCTTTGCCCCGGAGCTGTCCTGGAGGGAGACATCTGCAGGCCAAGGGACCACCACATGACACGCTTCTAGGTGGGGCCTTACCATGAGCTGTTAGGAGCCTCTTCACTCTAGACACTTAGAAAAGATCCAAGATGTCCCACCAATACGATGGGCATGTTCTTCATGAAAGAGTGACCTCTCCATCCCTTGGAAACATTCACTGAGAGAGAAATAACGTGATGGTAGCATAGTGCCTAAGGTACTTGACTGCCAACCAGAAGGCTGACAGTTCAAACCCACCAGTCACTCCTCGGAAGGAAGGTTGGACGATCTACTTCCGTAGTGATACTGCCTCGGAAACCCAAGGAGGGGTTGCTATGAGTCGGGTCTGACTCGACGGCACATAACAACAACAAAATAGAAATAGCAAAGGATTTAGAATCAGAGGCCCTATGGTCACATCCTGGCTCTGCCCCTTATTATCTGGGTGCCCTCAGGGGGCTTATTTAATCTCAGAGTCTCAGCTGCTTCATCTGTAAAATGAGGTGTAATAGATAAGCTACATAGGATCATAGTGAAGATTACATGAAAGTCTTTCACCATCAGTAAAGCTCTAGGTATGTCTGTTATCCCCATTGTCACTGGAACCCAGTGCCCTGTGTCTTGTAGGAGAGTTGCCTGCTTTGGATGGACACTTGAACACTATGACCGCTAATGTTCCTCAGTGGCAGGTATGACCTTATTTACAAGAACAAAAGTGCCGACCAAATCTGATCATTCTTGGATTTGGACACAATGGCCCGTTAGACTAACTCGGGTAGCCTGGCCTGTTCAGTCCGCCACCAGAGTCTTCTGGCATGTATTTCTTGTTATTGTTGTGTGCTGTTTTTGTTGTCTCCGACTCACAGCGACCCCTCCTTGGGTTTCTGAGGCAGTATCACTATGGAAGTAGATTGCCCAACCTTCCTTCCGAGGAGTGGCTGGTGGGTTTGAACCGCCAGCCTTCTGGTTGGCAGTCCGATGCCTCAGGCACTGGTGGTCTTAGGAAGTTGTTTATTGCCCAGCTTCTCCCTCCAAGCACTGTTTACCTAAAACCTTTGTATAGTGCTTGTGGGCGACAGGCACAGAATCTAAACAGGGGTCTGCCACTGGGTCCTGCCCCTAAGAACGTAATCACCACCACCATTCTGCTTGCTGACCAGTGGGGTTTGTGGCTGTTTCAGGAGACTGAGGGCTACTCGGGCTCAGATATTAAGCTTGTCTGCAGGGAGGCAGCCATGCGGCCTGTGAGGAAAATCTTCAATACCCTTGAAAGTCACCAGTCAGGTACGGTTGGGATCACCAAGAAGGTGCTGTGGGGGAGACTTTTACAAATCCAACTTTCACCAGCAGATGGAGCCTTGCTCCTGTTCTTAGTGGATCTTTACACTTGGAAGGAGTTCTTTTTTGAAATCATCCTTCACAGAATTCAACTCATTCCCCCTCTGGTGTCCCGTTTGGGATCGACTTTGCCCGCAGATGATAAACTCCTTAAAGCGTGAGCTTTTATTTCTCTGGCACGCGATAGCTTTGGGCTGGATCCATTTGAGGCCCTATATAAATATTAAATAATACTTTGATAACAATACATTTGAGTCACTTTTTGGTGGGGAGGGTTCTGGGCTTCTGGGTCTAACTGGGTTTAAAAAGAATTCATTAAAAAATTTATTAAAGAATTTTCTTTGCACCCTTTTCGGTCTTGCCTTTTGCTGCATTAACCATTAAGTGTGCTGCATTATGCATTATCTTGAAAGATGGTCTATTAGCATTTCAATAGCATTGATCACCAGAGGTCATTGTTGGCTGTTATTGTTGCATTTTTATCTAGAGAGCACCAGTCTACCTGCCATCCAGCTGGATACAGTGACCACTGCCGATTTTTTGGATGTGCTGGCCCATACCAAGCCTTCAGCAAAGAATCTGACTCAGAGATACTCAGCCTGGCAAAGAGACTTTGAGTCTGTTTGAAATCACATTGAACCTGACCTGGCCACAAACACAACCATAGAAGGCTCCTGATTTATTAATGGAAGAGGAAGAAGAACAGAACGATTAGAAAGGAAAAGAGAAATTTATCAATGAAGACTGGATTAACTTGGACAACTGTATTGTTCTACAAAACCTGAGATATTTTCATTAATTTTTCACGACAGATGCAAAATATTGAAAATTTTAATTACACGCAAATGTGCTGTTGGGTCATGGAGTGGAGATTTTTTTCTCAGTAACAGATGGCATAAGATTTTGATGACCAACTTCCTACAGTGTCCTCAGCTGTGAACTAGTATATTTATTTTCATGTTAAGATGTTAGAACAGTGTGTTGGAATGCACAGGGTGGCTCTGAGTTGGGGCAGACGACTGAAAGCTAAGTTTGACAGACCATCTGACCAGTGGCATGTAAGGGTAGATAGATAAGGACAGGGGCAGGGAAGGAAATACAGGGCCTGTTTCTCATTCTTGACAACATTCTGAAACTCATCTGCAAACACTCAAACCCACTGCCATTGAATTGATTCTGACTCATAGCAACTCCCACTGGGTTTCCAAGGCTGTAAATCTTTACGGAAGTAGGTTGCCTCATCTTCCTTCCACAGAGCAGCTAGGTGGGCTTGAACCATCACCTTTCTGGTTAGCAACCAAATGCCTTACCCACTACACCACCAGAGCTCCCTTCTGAAACTCATCAGCTCTAATTCTGATGCCAGCCAGCTTAACCAGCATCAGCAAACCTCTACCAAACGAGGCCTACCTGGAAGTGCCACTGACCTCATTCCCTGTGCCTGAGTGTTCCGGACACTCCTACCTCCTCGCTTCCCGTACTTGGTTTGCTTCGCTCTCTTTTTTTTAATTGTTGTAAAAATATGTATAACACAACACTTGCCAATTCAACATTTTTCAGGTGTATTATTCAGTGTACAAATTATGATAATCATGTGTGCAACCATCACTCATAATCGTTGCCCAAATTGCCATCGTCATAAACAGAAACACCGCTCCCTACGCAGTGTGGCTGCCTTTCCTCCTGCCTCCCAGCCCTGGCTGTTGTTGGGTGCCATCCAGTTGGTTTTGTGATTCACAGCGACTCTGTGTGACAGAGCTGTCCCCAGGGTTCATCTCCGCTCCACCCTTTATGGGAGACCCCAGGTCTTCCTCCCCAGGAGGTGCTGGAAACCTCCAACCACTCAGTTCACAGCCGAGCGCGTAACGGTTTGTGCCCCCAGGGCTCCTTTCCACTCACAAACTCTGGTCTCTATACATTGACCTATCGTTATTTCGTATCAAGTGAGATGGTACAATATTTGTCCTTTTGTATTTGACCTATTTCACTCATTTTCAAGCTTCATCCATCTCGTAGCATGTACCAGGATTTCATTTCTCCTTACGGCTGAGCAGTATTCCACTGCATGTATGTATCACGTTTCCATCCATTCATCCAGTGATGGATATTTAGGTTGTTTCCATCTTTGACTATTGGGAACAGTGCTGCAGTGACCACTGGTGTACTTGTGTCAGTTTGCACGGCTGCTTTCAAGTTTCTCAGGTACATACCTAGTTGTGCCATTGCTGGGTCATACGGTTAATACT